AGTCTCTTTGGCTCTCTATGAAATGCATCCTGAATCTACTTGCTTCCCGCCATCATCGTGGCTCCCACCCCACCTCAAGCCAGCACCGTCTCTCACCTGGACAACCGTGGCAGCCTCCTCACTGGTCTCATAGGGAGCTCCACTGCCAGCCCTTCTGGTCTGTTTCCCCAAAGCAGCCAGTGTGGTCCTTATTATAATGTAAATCACATCACGTTATTCCCTTGCTCAAAATCTGTCAATGGCTCAGAATAAAACCCAAAATTCGTACCATGTCTGAGAAGAAATGCCAGTCCTCTCCCATTTCCCTGACTACCATCCATGTTGTCCTGGGCACATGGAACATCTTGCTGCTCCTGGAATGCACCATCTCCTTCCTACCCCAGGGCCTTTGCACCAGCCGTTTGTTTTGCTTATAGAGTTCTTCCCCAGATTTTCACTGTGCTCATTCTCTCAATTTATCCAGGATTTTTTGCTTGTTTGTTTGTTTCTTGTTGGTTGTCACTGGTGAGAGTGGTCTCTCTCTGGTCATCTTATCACAAACCATCTCTGTTTATGTCTGTCATTTTCCCTGGCTTTATTTTCTTCTTCGAGCATATTATTCACTAACATTATATTTTGCTTTTATTCATCTTTCATTGGAAGCTGCTCACTAAAATAGAAGTTCCCCACAGACAGGAGTCTGGCACCCAGGAGACACTTGGCAGGTGACAGCTAAATGAGACCAAGTCCCTGAGCCTCTTCCCCAGGGAGCACTTCTCACCTGGACTCCTTTCCTGTTGGGAACAACAGCTCTGTTACTTGGGGCCAATGTCATCCCTTACAGTTCTGAGAGGAGGAGAATGAGAATCACTCAGTGCTCGGGAATGGAACGTGCAAGTCAATTTTGGCTGGTGGCAGGGTCCCTGTCCCCTAGTGGGCCTGGAGGGTGTTGAGCACGGGGCTAGGAGAGGCACTGGAACCGGGCAGGGAAGTTGTGGCCCCACGGTAGTGCAGGCTGGGGAACAGGCTGGAGCCCCTCTTCTGGGCTTCCCTCCAGGACAGCAGGACTGTGAGGCACTATCCTAGAAGGGCTGAGGTGTTATCTCCAGAGAGCTCCACTTACGTGTCCCGCTGGCCACACGCTTCTCCCACAGAGGGCTGAGGGAGTCCACCTGGCTTTCTCGCCGCTGCAGAATCCTTTCCTGATGCTTTCCTGGAAGGAAAGCAATTTATCTGGCTCCCATCTGCCCCAGACTGCCCAGAGCCCTCAGAGGACTGCAGGACTCCTGCCACAGGGCCTCTGAGTGAGCCCTGGGAGGGCCGGTCCCTGGTCTGTCCCTGAAGGCGCTGTGCGCCAGGGGCCACACTGTAACAGAGCACCGACCTGGAGAGGGGAATTGAACCAGCTTTCCCTTCTTTTCTTCCATCCTCCCTTGCTGGCCCTTCGTTCCATAGGAGCCGGAACCTTCGCTTCTCTCTTCCCTCCCTCCTTCCCACCTCGCTTCCCTCCCTTCTTCATTCCTTTCCTTTCTTCCATCAATTTCCATCCCTCCCTCTGCCCTGTTGTCCTCCCTCCCTCCTTCCTTCTTTCCTTCCTTCTTTCTGTCCTTCCCACCTTCACCTGCCTTCCCTCCATCTCCATCCTTCCATCTCTGCTTCCTTTTCTCCTTCTCTCTCTCCCTCCCTCCACCCACCCCACAGTTACTGAGCTCCAACCCTCCGCCAGAGATGAGGGACTAGGAGGTGAATGGGACACAGCCTTTCCCCCGTGAGCTGGCAAGAGACACAGGGACCACCCTCAGCAGGGCGTCTGGTGCTTGGCAGGACCTCGGTAAATGGTAACTTGTTGCTAGGATGGCCTTCTAGCCGCCATGGTGTTGAGTGAGAGATAGGTGTGTGATGACCATGGGAAGGCAACATGTTGGCCTAGAGGAAGGGTCTTTGCATCAAACTTGGGGCTTATTTCCAAGGGCCCCGGTCGTGGCAGGGTTGCTTCGTCTCCGCTCCTGTCTTGACTCGCCAGGCACCCTCCCTTTCAGCACCCATGGGCCCAAGTCTGGGAGACTGGGCTTCTACCCAGTGAAGGTTATCAGAGCTTCTGCGTCTCCCCTGGGAGGACTTGGGAAGGAAGAGAGGGCCCCCATCCCTTGGTGAGGGGTCCATGCAGCTTTCTCCTTCTAGCCTTGGCTCAGTGAACAGGCTGGGCCCTTGAGTGGGCACTGCTTGTCCTATAGAACTCGTAGGGATGGGGCTGCAGTGCCAGCCCACTGCGGGCCAGGCCAGAGCTGCCTGCCACCTCCCACTTTCTTCTGTTGTCTGTGCCCCCCTGTCTTCCTGTCCTCCCCACTTCTCTTTAAAGTTTTTCTATCAGAGCTTTCCACCCCCTCCCTCCCTTCCCTTGGGCTGCTCAAAGGGGCCTTGGAAGTGCCCCAGGTTCTAACAGACCCAGCTCCCCCAACACCCTGTCCTCCCTCCCCCTTTTCAAAGTTGCTGCCCCCCCCCGCCCCTGCATTTTTCCTAGAACCCGCACCCCTCGCATGTCAGGGTCTCTGAACTTTACCCGTCCCCGCCTCCACCTCTGTGCCCACCAAGGCCCTGCTCACTGAATGAGCAGGCGTGAGCTCCCTTTCGGGTGCCGCCGGCCGAGGGTGGCCCCACGTGTTTGACAGGACAGTCAGGGGTTATCCATTTACAGCAGGGAGGATTTCAGGCCCCGAAACCTGTCCGTGGAGGTGATTCTTTTGGTGAGATTGGCTCGTGCCATGCTTTTTGCTGCCTTTGTGATCTGCCCCTTCCCGCCTTCCCTCAGATCTGGTGGTAGCTACACCCCACTGGGCTTGTGGGCACTGTCTCCTGGGTGGCCCTCTCCACCATCCCCTCAGCGGGGGTCCACGTGGGAGGCAGGGGCAAGGGGAGGCCTCCCGTCAGGGACCTGTTTCTGGTTATGTCACCGCGTTTTCTCTAAATGCAAGTTCCTACGTGCACCAAGACCACTCTTTCTTTCACTGAGTGAGACAGACTTACTGGGCTGGGGTTTTCCTTCCTCCCCAACCCACATTGAGAGCATCAGTGGTCTGGTGTGCTCCCCTTTGCCCACCTGTGGTGGCCATAATGACATGGGACAGTGGGAGTCACCTCTAGATGGTTCAGAAAGGTCCCAGTGGCACTAAGTCAATTTTCTTTCCTGAGATTCCAGTATGGCCTCTGAGCATGGGCTCTGCCGCTATCTCAGCAGGAAGCTTGTGGGGCTCACCTGGCCTGGCCGAGGCGGGCCAGCCACCTTTGGATACCGCCCCCCCCCCCATCATTCGGGAGAGCCCTCCCAAGGGCACAGCTCCCCATGTAGCCGCAGAGCTTGCACTGGGGCCACAACTATTTCAGGGCATAGGAGCTCCCATCACAGCCCCAAAGGCAGATGGCTGGCATGTGATCCATGGTGGGAAGCCAGGGGTCAGGTGGATGTGGGACACCCCAGGTGAAGTCTCCCGTGTTCTTCCCATCACTGGCATCCAGAAAACTTCTTATGTGAACAGCCCCTGGAGAATGGTCCTAGAATTTTGCAAACCATAAGGCTGAGTCTCTCCCCCAACCTCTCGCAATCCCCTCCCTAAAAATGGTCTTGTGAGCAAAGCAAGTAAGTCTTCACAGAGCCATTGGAGTGCCGGGACCCGCTGTGCCCATCCCTGGGACAGACCAGAGAAAGCACAGCGTCAAGCATTTGTTTCTCTCTCTCTCTCTCTCTTGATTTTAACTTTGAATGATACAGAAAAAAAAAACAAATTGCAGAAGCTAATCTGTCTGAGGAGAGGCAAGGAGGGGGCGAGAGAGACTTGTGATTTCTTACCTTGTTGCAGATGGTTGAGGTGTCAACTTCCGCTTTGTGTCTCGAGGTAGGCAGGTAGGAATTAGTTTACAAACAGCAGTGTCCCTCTGACACTTGGAGGAAACGCTTTCCGCACTCAGTCAGCCAACACCTTTTTGGTTGCCAGAAATCCGTGTTGGATTTGGACGGACTGTGGGATGCCCGTGGCTTCATGTGCAGATTTCGTCATCATGGGCTGGGGCTGCTACCATGGGTTCCCCGAGTGTGTCTTCTGGTTTCCCATTCATAGACACGCCCCTGAGTCCCTACTGGAATTCAGCTTCTGTGATGCCCGAATGTACAACTTCAGCGTAGCCAAATGTAACTTCTCAAGAGGGAAATTTTGCTCGTCCTGTAAAATCCTTCTGTGATTGGATTCCGAATTGCACTGGACTGGGAGAGGCTGGACCCAGGGAGAGGACTGGAGATCGCAGGCTGAGGCTTGGCTTGGCCCCTGTGGGCAGGCATCTTGGCGTCCCCCCAGGCTCCCCATCCTGTCCGAGCATGTCATAGCGGAGGAGCTCCTCTTGCAAGGCTTTCTTCAGTAATGAGACAAGAGAAAGTCAAACGCCTAACTGGTCCTTTTCTGGATCTTGGTACGGGAGTGGGGACAGATGCCACACGACGCCCCAGAGCCTGGGTCAGTGTCTGGTTCTGGTTCGGATGCACTGAATGCCACCTTGGAACTGTTCGCCTGTTTGGAACACAGGATTACCTGTGGTCCATTGAAATTTGGGTGGGATTGTGGTCTCCTGAAGGGAGCTCCTTAAATCAGAGAGAAAAAGAACCTCTCAATTCCTAACCTTTAGAATTTAAAAGGGAGAGAGAGAGAGGAGAGAGCGAGCCAGCCTTTATTTGCTTATTTGCTTGCTTCTTCTGTCCCATCTGGACAAGAAATGGTTAGATGCCCCGCCCCCTTCTCTTTTTGCAGGTGGCAATTTCCCATTAAAAGGAGCTGAGCAAATTGGGTTTATTGCGGCAAGGGTCACATAGTTCCCATTTTTAAATTGCTCAATGAATTGGGGCAGTGGGGCTATTAAATATTGTTAGACTCTCAACTAGCCCGGCAAATGGTTACCTTGGACGAATGCTGTTTACCTGTCTTGTTGACGTCGATATGTCCGACACGGAGACTTGCTAACACGTCCTATTTTTGCAGTTCCGGCCCACCACGGCTTTAAGGATACCCTTCACCCAGGAGGGAGCTCCATTGCTTTAAGACTTGCCTGGTAAGGAACATCGTTCTGTAGTTCGTTGAAGTGGTGTCTGTCTGTGAGTGTGTGGGCTGTCCAGGCTGCCCTCGCTGGGCTGGAGCCCCCTGCGCTGGGTGAGAGTTCTCCCAGATGCTCCCTTCTCCCCCAGCCTGGACTGAGATGGGTTGTGGAGAAGCTTCTGGATTCAAGGGTCCCTGGGATGGAGTGTGGCTCCCGGGCTTCTAGGTGGGATGAATGTATGGTGTGAAGACATGTTCCGGAAGTCTCAGCACGGGGTCCCAGAAGGGGCAAAGTCCCCTAAGGGTGACTTCTTTCTCTCTGTGTGACATCTCTAAGAGTCGCTGTCCACCATCTGGCAGGTGGAACAGGAGCTGGTGAGGCTGAGGCACCACCTGTGGCCCATTGCCCCATCACCCACGGGGCGGCTCCGTGGCCTGGCCCCGTCTTGGAGGAAACTTGTCCCAGAGCAGCTTCATGTTTGTCATCTCAGACTCAAGATCACGGACTCAGTGATGGAGGGTTTTCCTGGCCTCAAAGCTGCTAAAAACTTACAACAAAAACGAAGGGGCAGGTGCCTGTGTCTGATGCCTGCAGCCTCCTCATCAGAGCTCCCCGAGATAGATCTCTGTAAACTCAGCCTCGGATCTCATTAGCCAAGCCCACCTCCCCCTGACCATGGGCCTCAGAGGTCACTACACAACCTCAGAAATTGATAGCGGAATTATGCACTCAGAAATTAATTTTATGTTGTACTGAATATATATTTTTTTTATTGTGACTTTATCTTGTTGAGAAAGTGCTTACTTCTGATTTTGTGGATATTACTGACCATGGATTACTTTTATTTTGGTTTTTACACAACAGTTATATTAGAAATTTGCTGTTTTATTCTTACCTTCTTAGTAAAAATCCTTTTATCACACAATGGGTAATTTATATCCATTACCAGGCCTTTCAATCCTTTTCAGTGGGGCTGTCAGCGCCGTTGGCACAGTAATGATTAATGTGATCTAATAATAGCGTGCCATTATATTACCTTAGTAAAACATGTACCAACATCCTATTCGGATCTACCAAATTCATAGCTTCCTATAATATTTTTGTTGAAAGACAGGATTACTATTTTTCAAAGCTGATTTTTTCCCCTTTAACATATTTAATGAAATTCACAATTCTCTGCCTTAGTAATCCGGGCATGTGATTGGGTTCGGTGAGTGAATGTGACATCTGTAAGTCGTGTTGTGATTTGTCAGGGAGAGGTGGGACAGTCTCAGAGACCCGCCACCGGCCGATCCTGGGTTGTTTTGCCTCGAAGGAAAGAAATTGCTGGGTTTCCAGTCTCTTCTGACACGTAATAAGGAAGGTGTGTTTTAGATCAAAAGGCAAAAAAGTAATTTGACTCAAAGAGTCCTTTCTTCCTCTCCTGTTTTCTCTTCTCTCCTGTCACCTGCCTTCGTCTGCTGGTGAATAAGAGGGTAACAGAGCCCGTGGAAGCAGCTTCAAGCTGTTTTTTTTTTTTTTTCCTGGGGTTTGCCTCCAGCCTCCATTTCCAGCTCAGCCTCTCTGGATCTGAGGCCGGGTTGTTTGCCCTCGGCACTGACATTGCGCTGGGTAACTCTTCGCTACGGGGGCCCTCCTGTGCATGGTCAGATGTTCAGCAGCGTCCCTGGCCTTCTTCCACTCAGATGCCAACTATATACACATCTCCCTGAAGCTGTGACAACCAAAAATATCTCCTGAAATTACCATCCGTCCCCTGGGGGCCACAACCATCCACGGGTCCGATGTGGTAGGAACACGAGAAGATGGGTTTTGGGTGTGAGGGGATCTCGCTCCAGCTGGAGCTCCCATAGAGCTTTGGGGTCCTTCTTTGGGACATCTTTGGTTTTGGCAGGGAAGATGTGGGCATGAGGGTTACACACTGCATCCTTTTCCTGGCGGAAACCCAGGCTTCTTCCTTCTTTCTCCTCCCTCCTCTGTCCCAGAGCCTGGCCCCAGCAAGGGTCTGAATCTTAGCTTCTTCCACTTAAATCCCATTATAATCACGACCGTGATTGATAACATTCCACCTTTTCAAAGGGCTTTAAAATCTGTGTCAACCAAGGATGACATTATTGGAGCGCAGGCAAGATGTATTCAAACAATTACACACTCAAATCGAAATGGGAAGGTTTGTCCTTCTATTCTGATGCCTTTGTGATGTGGCTTTCACCAGCACCTTGGCCCCGCAGCCCCCAAAAGCTTTAGCAGGAAAATGCATGGGGAGGAACAGGTTTTGCCCTTGATACCACTCAGCTCTGAAAGATTTTGAATATTTGGGCTTCTTAGAACTAGAGGGTGGGGGGGGAGGAGAGGTTGTTGAGCACAGGAGAGAGAGAGAGAGAGAGATCCTTGCTTTTGACTCAGAACAAAAATTACTGCTGCAACATTGGCTCGAAATATGCAATCAACTGAAATCAGGAAAAGTATTTTGAATACAAAATTTATATTGAAATACTTGAATCTTGATACGTGTGCACCCACATACATGTATATATTTAAATCAAGGAAGAGAAGGCGAAAAATAAAGCTTTTGTCATAAAAATATTGCTTGTAGTATTTGCCCTCAAATGATTTCTGCCACATTGGAATACATTTTTGTACGGTTAGCATTTCCATAGAAGACACTCTTGTTTGCAACAGATTCTTGATGATAACAACAAATGAGGAAATGGCTCTGATTTACCTTTGTTTTAGGAGGATTTTAAATACATTGTGATGTTTGGTGTAGGAAGCATTTTGGTGACCCACCCCTACTTTACTCGTTTCTGGTTTGTCTCTCTCACCGCAGCATAAACCTGGTAAGAATGGGGCCTTGTACATGTTCTTCAGTGTTGGCTTTCCGTGTTCCTGAAGTGGTCTCTGGTACATAGTAGGTTCTCAGTAATACTGATGACTGGCAGGATGGATTGGTGGGTGGATGGATGGGTGGATTGATAGATGAATGGAGGGATGGATGGATGGATGGATGGATGGATGGATGGATGGATAGATGCGTTGATAGATGGGTGGATTGATGGATGGAAGGGTGGGTGGTTGGAAAAATGGATGGATGGGTGGATGGATGGATGGATGGATGCATGGATTGCTGGGTGAGTGGATGGGGAAATGGATAGAGTTCTATCTCAAACCTGAATCAGATCTTAGACTAGTAAGCCTAGCAGTCCAAATGAAATCCCACTTTTTACCATCTCTTCACCCCTTGCCCTCTTAAACAATTTTTTTTTTTTTTTACATCTAAATGGTCAGTTGTACAAAGACATTCTTATTCTTCTTTTTAATCCAGTTTTTAAAATAGAAAAATATGTTTAGGACTGTGCTGGGCAATCTCTGTAAGCTGAAACCACATGGGTGCCTTGTTGTATAAACATCTTTAGACGTCCACAAGGGCACATACACAGAAGACTGAGACTGAACACCTGGAGGCAGAGCAGGAGAAGGTGACCCTTTTCAATGTGGTACATCGACAAGGAGTTTATGAGGCTCAGAAGACTTTCTGTCCAGATGACTAGTTGTCTGTGTCCTGGACAAGACTGTAATTTATATTATATTTCCTGTTCTTCTAGACGCTCTCATGCGTCATCTGCAGATTCTCCATGCCTGATCTCTGTGGGACTGGGCAGTACCTGGCCATGTGGGGTCAGCCATCCCGAGGAGACAAGCTGAGGCTCCCAGTGGTGGGGCTCCCAAGGCCTGGCACAGCAGACATTATCTGCTGGAAACGTATTCCCAGTGATGAAGGTAAAAGTCACCACCTGCTTGACTTGTAACTTACTGTACAACAAACATCATGGCCTCACTGGTGTAAAAGCCATACAACAGGAAGAGAGACAAATGACCCCTAGACCCGGCAACCTATAGCAAAGTTATGGACTCTGGAACCTCAGGTCTCCTGGTTTGAACCCTGGCTCCCCCGTGTGTTAAGGGACTTAGTCTTGTGCCTCAGTTTTGTCATCTGTAGACTGGGAATGACAATCATGACAATGTAGCAGATTACACAACTAATCTATGAAATGTGCTTTTAAAACGACGTCTGGCTCCAAGTAAATGTTTGTTACACACCTGTTGGTGCTGTTCATTCACATTTTCTCTGCTTAGTCAACTTTCCCCCTCTCTCTCTATTTATTCCAGCTTAAGGAAAGTATAGGCCATTTTCAGATAATGAGCCTTTTCCCCTCAGACTCATACCAGAGCAAGGAACCCCCTCCCCGGCGCTGCCCGGCGTGCGGTCTCGCCGGCACCCCGGGGGCCCGCGGTGGTTAGCTAGTTCACAGAGCTTCTGAAAGGTGGTGAGTTTCCAGAGTTAGCTTCCCCTTTGTCAGGGAGCAATGTTGACACGCCACTGGGCTTTGGGATTTACTTGGTGTTCGGGGAGCGCATTCCTGGGATGGCTGCCACGTGGTCGTGGTGGGTGGGAACCGCTGGCTCCTGAAAGGCAGGGGAGCACTGTGGCTTTCCTCTCCCACCCCTTGTGAGCCGGCCCGCTTCGCATCATGGCCCCGTTTTATATTTTCGTCGACCACTGAAATTTAACGTTTTGCTTTCGGTCCATTATGTATGCAAGGATCTTGCTGATAAATACATGTGTAATTGTACCGTTGGAACCACTGCTCGTCAGCGACAACATATAATTAAACTCACCCTTGTAGTCATTGAACTTTTCCGTCCCTGACAAGATCACTGACCACGCCAGGGAGGGTGTGTCTCCTTGCGTGAGCCCCGCGGGGGCCCGTGTGGCCTCGCCTCCCCATCCCGGCCCACGGGGTGTCCCCGGTGCATCTTAGGGTGTGCTCGCACGTATGCACATGTGCGCTTCCCTTAGGCAGTCGGTGCCGGTGCCGGATGGAAGGGTGGGGCTGTAGAGCCTGGGGGTGCCTCTGTTTTTGTTGTCTATGCCCAGGTGATGACGGGGCCGGAGCGGGTGCTTGGGAGACTTGAATGAATATTCTTAGAAAGTCCTTCACTTGCCTCTGAGT